TTAGCTTACAACTCACTTATCGCACGTGTGGCCATTCGGGCCAGAGCCTTTGAAGCAGGGCGGTGCCCTTCCCGGTGGCCATGACCCCGGTTAAAGAAGCGGCGGCATTTCTCCCTGGTGCGCGTTCAGGCGGCGGCGCGGTCACGCGACGGCAGCATCTCGCCTGCCCGCTTTGCCCATTAGCAACGCGGTCGTGGCCTGGTGGCGTCCCTGGTGTTGGCAACACTTGTCCCGGGCATCAGCGGTGTTGCTCATGGCAGCGGTGGTGGCGCCTCGGCCGGTCGTTAGTCCTGGGCTTGAGTTCCGGCACCCACAGTCCTCTCCCGTGGATATTTCCCATTGCCCGCGTGGCGTTCTTCCTTGCCCCAGCGACCCCAAAGGGGGCACCCGATCTGGCGATAATGCATTCGGGTGGATGCGTTGTGTCATCTCGCGGTGCGCGGCAATGCACCTTAGCGGCCCACGGCGATGCGGCAACGCATTCATCAGCATCTCTCTAGTAGCCAAAGAAACTCGCCCTCATCCCTGCCTCGATAAAACACTTCTGCTCGCTCTCGCCTCCTCTAGCGGAATGGTACTTTTCATCGTTCTCGCCTCCAACATCGGAATGGCACTTCTGATTGCTCTCACCTCCCACATCAGAATGACCGAGCTTTTATGCGACAACTACCTCCTCAGGTTCGCGGGGTCACGTAGCCCTCCTGCGCTTCGTTTTCCGCGATTGGCGGGCGCGCATTACAGGAATTCTTCGGCACAATCGCGGCGTTATTGATGATCGTTTGATCTTCGCCAAGTTCCGTTGAAACTCAAACATCACATGAGTTCTAAGAACTGGTGCCGCTGAATTTCTGGTTTTTGAAACGGTCTCGTACGTATTTCCCGGTGAGTCATCGCCGGCGTCCGTGGCGCGCCTCTGTCGAGACAATAGAGCTACTTGCCTTTGCGTCTCTGACGCTTCCTACACCCTCGCAGGTAGCAAAAGCTGCACTTTTCCGGGCCTTTTTACATTTGTCCTCAGCAATGTTACATTAAATAAAATGTTAAAATACACGTCGCAACCTGACGCCTCCAACCGTTCCGTTTCAAGATATATATTAAAACGTTTTTTTTTAATTTTCAATGAACTTGGAGGTTCATCACTGTGACTTTGTAATAAGCACTCAAAAAAAATTTTGCGGATATTTCTTTCTCGTCTTAGGAAAAGAAATACGTATCCAGAAAATTTCCAAACAAAATAAATATATTCTTAAACAATAAACAAACTCATTATCCCTTTTTTCAATAACAAAATCAGTGAAATGTTTGGATCCCTTCACTAAACAAATTGAGAATATAAATGCTTATACAATTATACAATGTGCACAAACACACACAATTAAATATTTACACTGTTAAAAGTATTTCCTTATACTTCTTAACTAACGTAGCCATCAGAATCTCATTGAATTTTTTCTCTATTGACATTCACTATCTGAATTAAAGAACAAAAGAATAACAATATTTCACACGTACTAATTTGAAA